GACGCTTCGCAGCAGCAGCTCCCCGGAGACGCGCTCGCACGGAGTGCTGCCGGCGCTGGGACGCGGCTCAGAGGCAGAGTGCACAGGGGTACTGTGGGTACCGCAACACCCGCCAGGTCTGCGGAGGGAAGCTCAGACCCTGCCTGCTTACGTGGCTGACGCGCTTTTTTCCAAACATCTCCAGCTGGGAACGCTTGGGACATTTGTCTTTCTGTAAAAGAGAATTTATCCAACTCTAAAACTCTTTGTGCTCGAACTGATGGATTTACTTTTATGTACCCTGTGCAGAGTAGTTCTGCTTTTCAGGGAAACACAAAAATCCCGCAGGGTCAGCGTTTAGCACCCAGCACACCACGTCGTCGCTGTTCAGCGTTGGAGCACCCTGCAGATGTTCTGGATGGGGACTCATCCCGGGACGCTCCCTGGCCCGACGCAGCCAGCCAGGATCCAGCCCGAGCCTCCCGCTGCCCTCTACCAAAGTTTTCAATCGAGTTCAAGGTTACGGGGTGTTTCAGAACACGCTGCCCACCCTGCCCCTTACAGCACAGCTCGGTTATTCGCACACCAGACACAATCTGCCCCTTCCCAGCTACCGCCAAGACCAGCGGCACCTCCCCGGGCAGACCCAGCCAGGGGCCACAAAAACCTCCAAGCAGAGGGAAGGAGCGTAGGGGCGGATTTAAAACTCAGTTGTCAGGTGATGGTTGTTTTTTGTGCAGGAAAGGTTTTTTTCCCCCAACGGGTGGGCTTTAATAACTCAGTCAGGGAGAAGTACAACTGTGAGGTTAAAACACGCGAGTACGTTATTCCGATCTGACCAAGCAGAACCTCACCTCACTCTTCATGATTCATCGTTGCTGGGCGGTAACTCACTCTTCAACAGAAAGGCTGGCTGCAGAAGCTAACATTAATTAACATAATTTGAAAACCTGCACCACAACCGCCTCCCCCAAATGAAATGAACAGCAACATCCAGTACCGGGTACCTCGCTGGAGACAACACCAAGAGAGCTGAAACTCCAAGGGCAGCGCCGTTCTCCAGAGACACGCTCTCAGCCTGGGTCCCTGCCGAGTCAGCGCCGGATGGCGAATGTAGCACAAGGCACGCTGATGTATTTTGGTCACTTTATTAAATGAGATATTAAATAGTTTAAGTTTCAACTACTAAACAGCACTTTGAATGGTGAAAACACAGATAGTATATCGTCATACTTGAATGCTTCTTCTCTTTAAAAACACATTTCCAGTCCTTATATATATTACAAAACAGCCTTATAGGAAGAGGGGACACCTTTTCTATAGTACTTGAGATATTTAATACAGAACTGAAAAGCCATCTAATAGAAACAAAGGCAAGTCTTCACAGCTGTATGATTTCAGCAGCCAAAGCTGGTTGATGGACTGAAACAGTACTATACAACTGGGACAAAACATATACAGTATCACAATACTAAGCAAAAACGCTTTACATCCAAAGGAATAAACAGGTTACAAAATGTGGAGAATTTAGCAGGCAAAACTGTATTACAAGCAACATTTTTATTTGTCGTCTTAAGCCATTTCATCTAGTTAAAACATCTAAAACAAATATAAAAATGAGCCTTCTGTTATCTTACCGATGTATGTTCTGTCTTTAAATATCTGTTAAAGCTTGGTGTTATACTCAAAGCACATCGTTATGCAGCTAAAATGTCAAGTGAGAAACATGTAAGCGAAGTGGTCCAAGTTTCATTTCAATGCTTATCTCGGATTTCTTCTTCGGCGTTAGTCTTCTGTTATCCATAGTTTTGTCCAGAATGAAAAAAAATGTGCCTTTAAATGTTGCCTAAAACTTCCACATTGAAGTCTCTGAGTTACTGTAAAACTCCATTGAACATTCCCAGGTTTGGTAGAAAGTCTTTCTCTTATTCACAAGACGTAGGAATATCGGTGAGAGCTGCCCAGAGCACATCTGCCTTCAAACGGTCATCTCCAAGTCTCACGTTTTGTTTCTTCTGGTGTGAACAGGGCGCTCTCTGCTCCCCTCCCCCCAAATCGAACGGAACTGCCGAGCTGGCAAAGCCCGAGCCCGTACGGAGGTTCCTCCGCGGCATCCTGTGGGACGAGCCCAAGACAGCAGCTCATCGGCTGGTTTCACAACAGATCAAACCGACTCGGTGCAGGTCACAGACCAAGTTCCCATCGCACATGAAATGGCGCCTAAGATGGGCACGTTCAGATGCAAAACCCGCTCGTCCACCCAGGGCACGAACTCAGACTCCTGCAGGAAACTTTCCAGAAACCAAAACAATTTCAGTCCGTGTCAGCGAGTCAGGAGAGCCCAGCGAGGCCTGGCGCCAACGCCTCCATCCGCTCGCTTCTCCAGAGCTCTCAGCAGTCAGCGCGCCGCTGCCTCACGTGCTCCTGTCACCTACTCTTACCCCCAGATTAGAAACTTTTGGGGGGGGGGGGGGGGAAGAATAAACCTAAACATCTCTGCTCCTGTCACCTACTCTTACCCCCAGATTAGAAACTTTTTTGGGGGGAAAGGGAAGAATAAACCTAAATATATCCAAAGAAAAGCCCTATTGGTATTTGATTAGATCTTCACAAGCACAAAAAGTGTGGGTAAAGAGAGTGCTAATGACAGACAATGAACCAGAAGTTTATCTCTGGTTTACATTAAATAAAAAAACCAACCCCAAACCAAGAAACTCAAGCTCTTTGTGAGTGGTATCATGTTTTCACACAAGCAAAAGGGAATGGGGAGAAGTGCATAACCAAAACTCTCAACTAACAGAGGAAAAGTTCTTTCACTGTTCTGGCAGCTCCGTAAGTTGCCACAGCACTTTCTGTGTATCGATTTTACGCCAGCAACGGTTCTGCCATTTGAAAGTTGGTTCTGTAGCAGGGTTTGACCCTGGCCACCATCACTATTTTAACCCCCAAAATACCAGGAATTTAGTTTTCTTGGCCCGTCTCCCATTGCCGGCAATGGGAAGAGACAGTAGCACCAGCATTAAGGAGTTAACAGAAACGCGCTTTGTACTGGACTCTGCCTAGGTAACGAGCGAGCGAAGAAAAAGTATCTCCAACTCCAAGCTCACCATTAGATATTCCATCACACAAAACTGAAAATAAAAAAATGGCAGAAGACTAGGGAAGAGCCATCGCCTTCCCCAAGTCGCTCTTTAAGGCTGTAGACACAGTTTCTACGTAACTGCATGACTCAGAAGTTTCAGAGCAGTAGAATTTCAGAATATGACACTCAGTTCTGTTTCAAAGAATATTTTCAGTTCCTATGTTTCATTCGGCATAGATGATATAGGACGAGTCCAGACCTCAGTCAAAAGGAAACAAGACTATTTCTGTTCTAATATTCCCACTAACAGGAAGAAATGGGTAAGCAGAAAAGTATTCCATAATTTGAGGAATCAACTCTCATCAAGAACTCAGCTGTTTACAACTCACATATGGTAGATACTGAAACAGACAGCCCTGCAGTCCTTCCTAAGCTGCTCCGACCCGACGACGGCCTCGCAGCCACTACAAGCAAGCATAGGAGTTTAGACAGGAAACCTGCGGAGATGCTACTGTGACGGGAGGACTTGTTTTCACTGAAAACAACTTGTTATCTCCTGTACTCAACATATGTAAGAAGATTCTAGGCAACATCACTGCAACAGGGAAAAACGTTATGTCCTACTTAAACAAAGCTGAAACACTAATATGGAACATGGCATTTATGGGGACCAACCAAACTATTTCTTGATTTTTTTTTAATTTTTTTTTTTTTTTTTTTTTTTTTACAGTTCAAAGCTTAGTTCTGTTAAGCCATTGATTCCTAAAAAAATAAAAGTTCTTTCTCTGATTTTAACAATCCTTTAGGCTTTTAGTGCAAAATCACATTGATTTCCCTTGGGAAGGCCCTGGATTTTTGCCTCTCATTGGGGGTGGTGCTCGTTGTAACGGGGGTGGCTGCATCCCACCGGACACTGACTGATACATTCCTCTCATATCTATCTGTTGGTAGTTGGAAGGATTCATGATTAAGTTGGGAGGCTTTGGCATCATGAGGTGACTCATCGCTGCTTGCTGGTAGGACATCTGCTGCTGCTGCTGCTGGTTGTACTGCTGCTGGAGCCGCCTGTTCATGAGTATCCTCTGCACGCAACTGTTCAGCTGTGGAGGGAAGCAGAGCTGCCGTGAGCGCGCGGCCCGGCCCAGCGCTCCAAGTATCAAGTTCAGAGCTAGAATCGATTAGTTCGGGACCGGGTGGCTGAAGGAAGAAAGCGCCATTGTTATCGCCATCACTAATGTGATGGCATTCACACGCGGACTGCTGGAGAAACCAGTCAGTATCGCCGTGTCGGGCTAAGGCCTCCTCACGACTCGCCCGCTGTATCGCATGCAGCGCTCAGGCAAGTTGCCACGGCAACGGGCACTATATTGTGGAGTTACAGCATTATCTGTCAGGTACCATTTACCTTCCCTTTGGATGTCCTGCACGTGGACTGTCACTGCATGTTTGTCTGGCTAAGAGAAAACTCTTCCCGTTGACATAATCTGGGCAACTTTCAGATTTTGCGATTAACTCTAAGCTAGAAAAACATTACCGACACTTTCTCAGCTGTGTGTTTCCTAAGCTGCTTTCTGAGCTCCAGGAATCAGATTTCTCTTTAAGCCTCATGACCTTCAAGCAAACTACTTCAACAGAAAAATCTGGTGAGTAATTTTTGTAAGTGAACTTCTCAGGGAGTCCCCCTCGACGAGGCTGAGCAAAGCAAGCCAACACACTGCAGACGTCACCGTCTCCCAACGCTACGTCACACACACCGTTACGCAACGCCAGGCAATGCCTGACCCACTGGCGCACACATTCCCTAAGTGCGCATTTACGTACCTGAACATATACTTATATATATTTAATGAACACACACACACGCAAGGTCCATGCTCAACATCCAGTTCAAACGTGGACAGTCAAGCAAATAAATATTGGGTATTTTACCATCTGTTGTTTAGTAAGGACATCGTTATAGATGGCTTCTCGGCGCTTGACATCCAGCTCCTGGCTTGCCTGCCTGCTTAGTGCCAGGGCCTGCACTTGGCTCTCTGTGAGCGTGACGTTTTCTTTCCACTGAAAAGGAAAAAACCAGAACATTTTTGGCACTAGGCACTTTAACAAAAGCCTCACGGTAACCAAGGTCTTGCATTACGTTCAGAGCCGCACCAAGAGTTAAACACGGCCCAGTTTCCAGTAAATGCAAAAGGATACTTCACCAGAACCGTAACTAAGAGTTGGTAGTTCTTCTAATTGCTAACTAAGGTTATACACCTTTAGATTATTGGCAGCAAGTGAGAATGTGAAAGCCCAAGAGAGATAGATAGATAAGGACAAGATATAGAAATACATCTTACTAGTGTATAATTATTACTCTTATTTGCAGAAAATCAGCATTTTCAGAGCATGGCAAATAATCATGCATCTAAACTGCGAGTCCTCCAAGGCTCTATGTCACCTAGACACCATTACGGGTTACTGCAGGCTGCAGGGATAAAGGTCAATAGAAACTGGAAATTATATTCATTAATCAAGCAATGAATAAGCTGAATGACCATATACAATAGTAATTTCTTTGCCCGCTGATGTTTTCCCCATCTCCTGTTCTAAGCCTGCAGTTAGCCATTTCACTCACTATGGTTGAAATGATGTCTTCAAGGGGCTGAATTCTCGCTGCAGTTACACTGTTGGTTGCTTCCACAACTTTCTCTCTTCCTTGATTAATAAGGTCCTGAGAAAACACCAGAAAATTAATTATAAAGCACAGACACAAAGAATACATTTCTTTGCCAATCGTTTGTAAGTTTTCTTCATCTTTGCCTTGTGAACCTAGACTTTAATTACTTTTTTCTCTCAATTTGCACAAGTCAATGAGTCTAAGCTTCCACACAACTGAATTTAAGCAGAGAGTAATTGAACAGCATGAATAAATCTGCCAGTTTGGACAGTGGACAGTATTCGTAAGAAACTGTTTTTGTACCCGAAGGTTTTCAGATCGTCACAGGAGCGCTACGTTTCTACCCAGGCATCTTGTTAGGAAGAAAATGCCCTCCGCTACTTCAGCTAAGATGGCAAACCAAGGCCCGAGACAGCTGAGGAACAGAGCACGCGTTCCTCCCTCCCTTTCCTTCTTGGGCTGCAGACAGGTGGGGGCAGAAAGCTAGACGCAGTAACTGATCTCTGCAAAGAGGGCAGTTCGTCTTCCAGAACCCTGAAATACTGCACAGGTACAGGTTTATACGCATGCAAGTTAGACTTCAATATAGCTAAACACACACACACAAAATCTCTATTAAAAACAGGATACAATTACATAAATATCACTTAAGACTGACATTATGCATTATTTGTGAGACCACGCAGGCTCACAGCAGCACGGACACGTTGCGCTCCTGGGCTGCTCCTTACCTCCAGCTGTTGGTTACTCATTGCCGACAGAGCCCCCAGATTGAAAGGAATATACGGTGTTTGAGAGTTGAAGTTTGTGGGGAGCATATTGGTCCCAGCTGGCATGTTGAAACGCATAGTCAAGCCCTGAAAAACACAAAATGCACTTACATTTTAGTAACTCTGATAATTCATGGTCTTCTATAACAAGCCATGAAATACCCCCCGCAGACAAATCAGCCCTTCAAGCAGACCACAAGGACACTGCGCAGGAAGGGTAACCCACCTCAGCAAACTGCAGATCCTTTCCAAACCCCAATTCAAAGGACTTTGCAATCACAAAAGGAACCTAAGTTGTACTATTCAGTAATACAGGAGTTTAGCTTAATTGTATTTGTTTGGTATACTAAGAAAAAAAATGACCAAGCCTTATGAGTATATCTTAAGATGCATTTTTTATATTTCAAAGCCACTACTTCATGTTGAGTTTGACCTGACTGTAATCAAATTTTGAAGGAGTGAAAGGCATAATTTGTTAGAAGGGATATTTCTTACAGGACAATTCCAGTGCTTTCTATATTTCACACTCCTATTTCTTCTCCCTCAGAAAACCTTCTCCCAGTGCTCCACTTGTCATTTGTACACTCAAGAGGGTCAGTGGCAATCTATACATCCACTACTTTTTTTTATTAACAGTAAAAAAAATAAATCCCAAACCTGTAGCAAATTTATAATTTTCTTCTCTCTACCACCTGGTTAAATATCAAAAAAAGAAGACACAGCGAATAACAGAAAAAAAGTGCAAGCTCTTAGGTCCTTTCTGGCAGATGCTTATGGGATTCTGGAAAAATGTTCTCAAATCAATTGTATACCTTTAATGGAGCTAGAAGTTTCCCTCAAATGGTGAAAGAGAGGTATTATACAGGACACCAGTTGAGTTTTATCATGAAATAGAAAAAAATGTGTGTGTAAAAGGAAAAAGTAACTTTTAAACGAAAGTAACAAAGAAAACGCACACAAAAGACCAGATTCGAAAGAGCAAACAGGACACAGCATCTCTGTTTCTCACATGTCAAAATTTGCTTTACATATCCATTTCTCAGCCTGTAAGAAAATTAATTTCCCCCAAACAAACTGAAAAAGTAAGTGGTACTTCAATCTGGAAAGGTTATTTTCATGGATGTAAACCTGATTAGACAGCGTTACCTTCTTTTCTGCTTCATATTCTGCCCACGCTGCCTTCCTTTCTTCTTCAGTGAGCTCCTCTTCCTCCTTATGGTCCAGGAGTGAGTCGTGCTCGTGATACCCAACAATATACTCTTTATTGATCTGAAGCAACTCTGCCAGAATCGTATCCTGTTCGAATGAAGAGGCGGTAAGATGAGAAGTCACTCCTAGCTCCACCGCATTGACTCTCAGTGCATGCCTAACTTATGGCTTTGACCCAACTTCACAAACTTCACCTCATGGTGAAACAAAATTAAAAAATAATCTAAAAGCACAGTTCTCCGCAGAGTGAGGGTAATGGATTAACAATCTGTTACAGAGCTGACAGCCCAATCGCTTAATGAACCACAGGAATGCAGTCAGATTCCGCAACAATAAATGCAGTTGAAGAACCAAAGAATGGAATGTGCTCGATGATTTTTCCTTTGCTTGGGCTGGATATCTGAGAGGACCCATCCATAATCTGCATCTATAATACACAAGGAGCACCTCTGTCGGATTTGAAACAATAAGTAGTACTTTGGTCCATCACCTGTCCATCAGCATTCAACAAAAAAGGTTGCACTCTTAAGACTGCGAAGATACATGTCGAGATCAACAGTCCCCCACCATCCGGACTAAGAAAGGTCAAATCGCTGCTACGAACCGGTTTTGACCAGCAGGTTGCAATTTAGACCTCTGTATTCCACAATACCCCTAAAGCTTAATTGCTTTTAAAGTTAACCAAAATGTTTATAATGTCCTTTAAAATGGTGAACTATTGTGAAGATTTTGTTCACAGGCACACTGACATTTTATAGACATGTATCTGTATTTTTTTATCTATATATACAGATATTAACAAATCCAAGGAGTGCTTTCTGAAATGCAGAGTTACCAGCACGCCGAGTATTTCCTAGATAAAGCAAAACCAAACCAGCTGCTACCCAAAATAGGGAGCTGCCACCGTCCTTCTCTGGACTACGGACGCCACATTATGACAGATCATTATCTCAATTCAAAAGTGATACAAAAACAGATAGAGGAAATGAATGCGAAAAGCTGGTATGTCGAGGCAGGTAGTAACGGGTTTCAGTCCTCATTCGCACTGAGGCAACGTTCCAGTCTCCACAGTTTTCCAAAGTTGACGCCTCTTTGCATTAAAATGAAGGTAAAGCTGCAAAGGATGACGAAAACCACGCTCTGTCAGACTCTTAGAAACTGCTCATGCTGCACTGCAGGAGTCCCCTTTTGGAGATAATTATTGAACATGGCGTTTTTAAATGCACTTGTACCGCTGATGAGCTCACTGAATTAAGAAAGCTCCAATACATCTACGGTCGAAGATCCGTAATACAACAACATCATCTCATTGAACGTTGGGACCACTGCTGAAATGAACTGCAGCGAATACACCGAACATACTTTTTGCAGTAGAATTCTATGGGTACCTACGGACCCACTCCACACCACACCTTCGTTCTGCCAGGCTTTTGTACAAACAGGAATATAAACTGTCCTACCCCGACGTGTTAGAATCCAGACAGAACAACGACTGGAAGGAGCAGCTTGTGCCCGCAAGCAAATGGACTTCTGCAACAACGCTGGGAACTGCACATGGAAGTCCTGACCAGTAGTTTTGTCACAACAGCTACAGAAAGTTGTTTGCTTCTCTGTGTGTTTAAAACCCAATTACATTAACCAATTACATAATCTAGTCTTTGTTTCATCCTGCTGCTACCTGGTCTCCCTAAAACTGAAACGACGCTTTCATCACCAGCTCCTCAACAAAATACTCAGTGTAGTATCTGCATGACGAACGGGCACGAAGCAGAAGTAACGGTATTTTTGGGGTGGTGGGAGAGAAGGCAGAGAGAGAAAAGGGATGCAACAGGGTATGACGAAAACATCCAGAGGAAGTGGGTGACGAAGTCAAGAAGATATTACAGAAGTAAGCTAACATAAAATTCAAGCGCTCTCAGCATACCGTAGCTGTACATCAGCGCGTGGAGGGCTCCTGGACATGCATATGCATTAATTTCCATGGTGACACTATTATTGAAAACAATACTGGAATATAATCCACACTCACTTAGCCAACGCAGTCTTCAAAATGTGGTTTAAATTACATCAAACTGTGTGTTTGCTTTTCTTTGTCTAAATTTTATTTTGCATTAACTTTAAAGGCAGAGCTTGAAAACTGGGATATGGAAGGTATTGTCATTTAGTTTGTTTAATTTTACAATGAAAAAAATAATAAATTCACCCAACACAAAAAATCACCAGAATCAGTATTCCTTTTGTTTTGTTTAGCTTGGTGAGAGAACAATGATTATCAATAAGCTTTAAGATGAAATCCTGGTGATGAATGAAAGAATTAAGAGATACTGAGAAAAGTTTTTGAGTTTTTAAAAAAAGGGTTGTCTTTTAAAAATCCTGATGGAAATCAAATGCTACTGAGACATAAATGTATAGAAAGGAAATCTCCCATGACGGAATGTGAGTTATATTGTAATTCATAAACAAGTTTTTCTCAACCAACTGAACATTTAATACCACAGCTAAAAATAAAAATAAATTTAAATAAGCAGCAAATTCTTCTGATTCCGAGATCAACAGCCTTCCACTATTCACAAAATCGTCCCCTAGTATGGAACTGCAGTAAAACAGATGCCCTGGTTATGTCCTGAGGTAGTATAAAATAATGATATGCTATATCCAACTGCATCTGAACTATTGTTTTAATCTGCTTTTCCAATCTGCATTACACGACCTCAAATGTGCCAAGTTTTCACTTCACATAAAAATGTGACCGCGACTCGAATCCACTGCACATGCTGATCTGGGGAAGCGTAAGCCAGGAACAGAGGCTGCAACAGTGCCAGCTCCGAGGGACACCCAGTGCCCCCCCATCTTTGCATTTGTCCAGCTCCTACCTTGTATTTTCTCCTCTGCAATACCTATCGCACTGGCCGAGGCAAGTCACAAGTACTGCGCTTATCACTGTGGCCGACGGTCAGCATTTGGGGTGGAAAAAACCCCTTTTCCTGTAGCTACATATCAGCCATGCCTGCCCCAACATACAATCCTTGGCGAGCCCAGTGCTGTGAGAACCCACTTTAAATGCCCCCAAAACAACAGCCCAGTCATAAACCACACTGATCTAAAAAAAGACTCCAGATCCACGCTAAATTCAGAGCAAAGCAAAACCTAACACCCAACTGCAATCGTAACACACTGAACAGCTTTTTCTCACTCCACACCATCTTCTCCTTTTGAATTTCTGCCCTGTGGAAATCGTAACAACACCTGCTCATGCCTTTCGTCTGTGTCAGACAACAAGTCACTGCATCTGCATAAAGCTCATGGCCTATACACAGTAATGGTTCAGAATCTTAGCATGGTTTGAGTTGGAAGGGACCTTAAAGATCATCTGGTTCCAACCCCCCTGCCACGAGCAGGGACCCCTTCCACCAGACCAGGTTGCTCAGAGCTCCATCCAACCTGGCCTTGAGCACTGCAAGGGAGGGGGCAGCCACAGCTTCTCTGGGCAACCTCTGCCACTGCCTCACCACCCTCACGGTGAAGAATTTCTTCCTAATCTCTAATCTAAATCTGCCCTCTTTTAGTTTAGAGCCCTTCCCCCTTGTCCTATCACTGCACACCCTCGTGAAAACCCCCTCTCCTCCCTTCCTGTCGGCCCCTTCAGGCACTGGCAGCTGCTCTAAGGTCACCCCGGAGCCTTCTCTTCCCCAGGCTGAACAGCCCCAGCTCCCTCAGCCTGTCCTCGGATCATCTTCGTGGCCTCCTCTGGACCCGCTCCAACATATCCATGTCCTCCTCATGTTGGGGGCAAACGTGACTGAGCAATTACTCATTCTTAAGGCACCCGTTACACCTTTTTTGGACTGAATTTCTGAAGTAGTCTTTGTCAGCTCCAAAGGCACAGTGGGTGAACGAGACCAAGCAGAGGAAGTCAAGACTAATCTAATAATTCACGTGAACAACATTCATAATAAAAATATTCTGTTAAAACCAGGTATTTGCATTGTCCAAGACGCAGAGGCTGCTTCAGAGGGGTAAGGGCAGGCAAATGGCACTGTGAAGTCACCGTTGTAGTGCAACAGGCATTTTCCCCTGCGAACCTCATGCGCTGGCTCCACAGCACGCCTCGCCAACCGGAAGGTCTTGTTCAGATCACAGAGGGCAGAAAACTGCTCTAAAATTAAAATTTGACAGGAAACTCTGGTAAGCTTCCGGGAAAACCACACACTGCACATTTGCCAGGTGACTCTCTATAAAAAATAGCAACATTCAGCATCTTCCCCCCCTTAACAACACCTTCTAAGAAAACTGGTCTTTGACCGAAACTTGGATTATTGCAAAAAACAGAATTCTCAAGGATCTTTTTTAAAAATCAAGTAGTATCTGTTTCTTCACTCATGTAATGGCTTTACTTGTGTCTTTGAAACCAATATAGAATGAACTCTCCTAACCCATTAAAAGCAAAAGAATCAAAAACCATTTTTTTTTCTTACATCAAAGAAGTTGGAAAGTGTTTTAAAACTAGGAGCTACAAGAAGAACCCTGATGCTCAGCTCGAAATCCACAACCTCCCTGGGCAGCCTGGGCCAGGGCTCCATCACCCTCAGAGGGAAGAAGTTCTCCCTCATGCTCAGCTGGAGCTTCCTCTGCTTCAGTTTGTGCCCGTTGCCCCTTGTCCTGTCGCTGGGCACCACTGGAAAGAGTCTGGCCCCGTCCTCCTGACCCCCACCCTGCAGATATTTAGAGGCATTTCTAAGATCCTCTCTCAGCCTTCTCTTCTCCAGGCTGAACAAGCCCAGCTCCCTCAACCTCTCCTCGCAGGAGAGATGCGAAGGATTACAAAGGTAATCCCTTACCTTACTGTCTGCACAACAGCAAAATTATATGGCGATAACATTGTTCAACAGACTACACTTTGAAGATGTAAAAGGGGCCTGAAAACAGAGAGAGACAACTCTACACCAACCTGTAAAAGGCAGAACTAAAGCCTTCTTTTAGCCTAAGTACCTATTTTGCTCTGCTGGTGATTACCAAGGAACAGCTCGGTCTTTGTGAGCAAGGGGTGGGCAGCTCAACGACGGCAGGGTAATGCAGGCGAAGTTTGAGCGGCCTTTGTTTCCAGCCCAGAGCCGCAGAGCTCAGGTTGGGTGTGCTGAACTTACCCCGAACAAAGCATCGGAAAATTGTGCAACTCCACCTTGAAGCAAATGTTAATCTCTAAAGGCTGTGTAATTAAATCAATATTACAATAGAATGTTTTCTTAAGCATACCAGTAGTCTTTTTAATCAAATTCTTAAAATATGCTCCGAGTGTGTCATTAAATTCATTTAACTGTTGTTTTACAAATATAACGCTAAATCACGCACCTCTGCTAAAATTACACTGAAATAAGGAATAGCTAACTTTCTGAATGAATAACCTTGGACAATTTCGAAAGTAAGCTCCACTGCAGAATCTCCTACAGCTGACACTTGTTTTTGATTGTTTGTGTAGGATATCAGAGAACTGGACAGACCAAAAAAAGGCAGAGTAGGAAATAAAAGTTAAACTTCTGATATTATTAATAAGGCATGAGCCACAATTCTATTACACAGATGACAGGAATCAAGGAAGGAGTCATTGCAGCTATTGGACTAGCTCAGTTTTGTGTATAAAGCAAGAACCTAACTGGATAAAATGAAAATAAAATATCCCCGCCAGATGAGCTTCACAGGGAAGACAAATGCAGCCAAAAATAACTTTTAAAAAGTGGGCTCATCAAAACGGTAAACGTAAGTACCAAATCCAACCGAGTTCTCCACTACAGAATCATAGAATGGTCAGGGTTGGAAGGGACCCTGAAGGTCATCTAGTTCCAACCTATAAATTCCTTTGTGACAGTTCACTACCTTGGCGCTGAGCACTGGTCATCTGGGCAAGGCAGGTCGATGCCAGATCAGCAGAGAAGTCACCCTAAACGTACCTATCTGGTCGGCACTCCTCCTTGGCTGAACCACGCGGATTGACATCACATCAGATGGCCTCAGAGGACGGACGTCACTCCTACCCTCGGGCTCCTTGCCCGAAGCCCAAATCACAAGCAACACTTTACAGGCTGACAGCTACTGGTTTTTATTAACACTTCCAGAAACACTTCCCCCCACCATTCTGTGGCAGTTTTCACCCCAGCTATACCAATGAGAAAGCTCCAAGTCCCACAGGAGCTGAGGAAACACAGCACCAAGCAGCATTCTTCCTCTCTACTGAGACTAATTCAGGTGGACAAAGAAAGGGAAGGAGCGTTTAGGGGTTAACGGCTGGCTTCCCATATTCCGTGAGGCTATCAGGAATGCAAAGCCCTGCTTTCCACAAATAAATACCGAAAATCCTAAAGTAAGATGAATCTACATGATGATTTATAGCCTTTTCAACCAACCAATTAAAAAAAGGCATCAGAAACTTGCCCACGGTATGTACTAAGATGCACACCTTCAAAAGGATGAATTTCCACGCAATACCGTTTGCTAAAACCATGAAAAAAACAAAAGGGAATTCCAGTACACAGATGTACTCTGTTTACAGCCAAGGACTTGGTTAAAAGCTTGTATTCAGCTTGACTTCATTCATCTTAACTTGCACAAACCTTACACTGATGGTTGGAAGGGAATTAAAACAGAATGTAGTATTTAAAACTGAACGACACAGGAAGTCTGGAGTTTATAAACTTTCTCTTTTACATTATACTTCACCCATTAATCGATTTATTCTTGTAAAAGAAAACAAGTAACTTTCAAAATATAATTCTTGCATTGGATTGATCACTGCTTTGAGTAAACACACTCAGTTGTTTCATAGGTTTTTGACCTATTTTTTTCTTAAAAATATGTAGCAGCAGCAGCAAGTGGTGACGCATTAGCTATGGGTTTGTGGGAGCATAAATGTATATGGCATAAAATAACTAGGAACGTAAAAAAGATAAAATAAATACTATCAATTATAACCTAACGGAAGACGTTTTCAGAGGGGGAAAAAAAAGAATTTGCCAAAATAAAAATTGAAAACATAGTAAAAAGGTAGAACAAAATTTTCAGTTATCTACAATTTACTGGTTACAGTGAGAAACACTGTCACAAAAAGAGCTTAGATCCAGTCATTAAAGCTTGTTTTCAAGGGTTTTAAAACGCCTGTGTAACAGTGACTAACGCTTACAGGGCTAACACTTCCCAAATCCCCGCCGGCAGCTGCACCGACACTGTAGGTGGTCCCATAGACGGCTTCAGAGAACGGCTTAACTATCAAGCACGCCAGTGTGATGCCTGGCCACAATTTATTATATTATAGTGGTCTACAGATAGTCTAGAATGGAAAACATACCATTTTCCCCTGGAAATTAATAGATTCACAAACTGGAAAACCTCCCTCCCCACACTCAGACACCGTATAATGATCTAAACACAGTAGTAACTCAGAAATTTAAGCAGATAAGTAACCATGGGCCACACATTTACATCTTACCGTCTAATAGCTATCCACCTGGTAAGCAGCAAAGATAACTGCGCAACAGCTTAATGATGTCCTTAGCAGACCACACACACAAAGAATATAGATTAGACAAAGTACCAAACTTTAGCCTAATCTTAAATACAAACTGACTTGGAAAAAAAGAACAAAATAACTGAACCAGTTGTTCTTTTCTCTGAAGTTGTCTCCTGCCTGACTGTAAAAGTTACCGTTCTAATTTTCAAATTCAGTTATGAAATTTTTCAGTTCCCTAAGTATCACATGGGACAGTGAACCCCTACTACGTAGGGCAGTGACAATGAGCCACTACTACACATGCCACACCCACTACAAACAGATTTAGGCACACTTCAGTGAAAACAAACCACTGTGATCTCAACAATTCATTTAGCACCAAGCTGGAAAATGGTCTGACCTCACTGCTTTGTGTTATCTCAGAGCAGAGTATCAGCATTCTCACTAACCTGTTTAAATGCTGTAAATGATTGCCTACAAACATGTCCCTGGTCTCTGCTAGTACTGGCAATACTAAAATTAGATTACAAAATCTTAGCTTGTCCAATTTTCCTCACTTAAACAGGAACCAAGTGCAACTTTTCCCCTATCTCTACCATATCTCTACTAAGGGTCCTGACAAGAAGAGTTAAACAAGGAACTCAAAACCAAAAAGGCTTAGCAAAGGAGAGCATGGATCGATTTGACTCTTCTGAAGTCTTACCTACGCAGATAAAAACCAGACCTTGAAGCACAGTATCACTTCACAGGTTCATTATCACAAACGGAGGTAATGCTCGGTGTCACCAGCACACACCGAGGTGTTAATTTGTATCCTCGCTTCTGCAGCTTCCTGGAGTAAAACTTCTATTCACCAAAATTGTGTAAAAAGGTATTTTTGTTCGTTCCGCTTTAAAATATTTACCTTTTAACTGAAAATCTTTTTCTTACACTGTCAACTACATTGAAGGGAAACTCATTATCTAGTTCATTATACTGTCCGTTATATTAATTATATATTTTACTGAGTTTCTTGCTATTCACCTCCATCCGAATCCAAAGACACAGCACTCTGCTCCTTCCAAGATCCAATATCCCATGCCCTTCAAAAGATGCAAGTTATTTTTATAGCACATAATTCCTAGTGCATCAACTTACTTTCGGCAGCATTGGTGTATCTCTCTTCTTCTTTTTTTCTGAATTCGGATCATCCAGCAAATCTGGCTCAAAAGTGTACAGCTCTGTAAGTTCATTCATAGTAAAATGACGCTCAACTTGCTGTTGGTCGACAACCCGGAAAGACAATGACTGCTTTGTTACCTGACGGTCATAGATCTTATCTTCCATCGTTCCCTAAAAAACCAAAGCGCTTACTTTCATACAAATACTGGACCATCAAGTCACACAGGGGAAAAAAAAATTAATAGATATAAAAGAGACAGAACAACACCACAACAGCACTCTATTTTCCTCGTTTCTTCAGCCCTGCATCTAAAAAGTTATCTGAAAACACATTGCTTGCTGAGAAAAAAAAGAAAAAACCCTCCTGTCAGTGAACACAAGGTGACATGAATTGTGTATGTGACAGATGTCATCTAGCTAGAGTACGAAATGTATTTTTTCAGTAGTGTTTTGAAGATATCTGGTTTTGCTTCAATTCCTCAAAGTAGGATTATGACAAAAAGATGGCAATTCCCACAGAATGTACCACACTTTGCTGCTCTGAGCAGCCTGTAAAAAGGAAAACAGATACCGTATCACTGGGGTGGAGAGGAGAGGGGAAGGGAAGCAGTCAAGTCCAATTTGTCGCAGCTGCGTATGAAAAAATTAGGTCCCTGACAAAAAAAGGAAAATTATTTTTTTTGAAAAAAAAAGATGATGATGACCATGAGAAGTATGAGAACAGCACAGCCTGTTCCGAACATCGTAATTTAAAAAAAAAAAATCAACAGTTCGAAAGTGCACACAGAAAACTACAAAAATAGACTGAAAGCCTGAAAAAAACCCTGCGTCTGACAGGAACGTGTTGCAAAAAGTAATCTATTTAAGTTGGCAAGTAAACAGTGGCTTAATCGAGAGTTAAGTATTGTTACTGGGAAACTTAACTCTTCAGTCTACTCTCTAACAACTGAAGAACCAGAAGATGAAGCAAGGTACTTCCCAACACAAATAATGGCATTATGCTTAATATTACACACCTTTAATATCTGTAAGGGCTGGAAGACGACTGGATCAGCAAGGATCACTCCAGACTTCAACACAAGCCCAAGCAGTTACAGTCCAATTAGTCACAGTTTACAGATTTGACTGCAGGACCAGAATATCACAAAAATATCAGACAGAAACCTACCTGAGCCAAAAACCTGTACACAAACACAGGTTTGTTCTGCCCAAAGCGGTAAACCCTGAAAATACTCTGGATGTCATACGATGGATTCCAAGAAGCATCAAAGATGATTACCCTATTAGCAGCTACGAGATTAATTCCAAGGGAACCCGCTTTAGTGGATATAATAAACAAGCGGCCTCTGGAACAAAGAAAAGTTGCAGGATTTCAGTATTTTGGAAAACAACAATTGTTCCCATGTTGCTGTGTTACTATGGAGTTGTCCGTACACTGCAATAACTTAGAAACTTCATTAAAATACTGTATTAAGCATAAAACAGATGCAGATTTTCCAAGGACAACACTTTTAGCAAAACATACACTCCTAGAAATATAGATCTGGGCCTCCTGCAAACCAACCGTTAAAAAAAAACTGGTGAGTAAGAAAAAAACTTTTGGTTTTGCATTTTCAAACTCTAGCACAATTAGTTATAGCAAATTAAACCATAATTTTAAGCAGGCACATCCCATGCTGTTGAAACTGTTTCCTGGCTAGCAAACTTTCAGTGTAACTAACTCTAGAAGGACCACTACCTCTTTGATGTATCTGCTTTTTCTGAATACCACCTCACTCAGGTTCAACTTCAAATGAGCTCTTGACAGACACCTGACAGAATAAACTCTTACCGAATTCCTTTACTTTGTTCCACTTAACTTTCCCGCCGTCCCCCATACATTATAAATGACTGCAACAAAATTACGTATTTTATCTTTTAAACAAACGCAGGAAGGTGACGGCCCTTACCTTCATTAAACTTGTACAAGTCTGTATCTATCTCCTGTCCAGAGCAGACTTGGAAGTCCCACCTCGCACGAACAGTGGTGGGCTGGGAGACCATTCTGGAGACAGCCAAGAGAACCACAGGCTTCTGACCAGCCAAGCGACCGCTGTCTCCTGGCCAGACCCCATGGGGCACTGACCTTGCTAGGTCCCTATATCCTTTCAAGTAATCGTAATAAAAACACTGTCTCTGATCCAAATTGCTTACAATCTAACCAAGAAACAGCAAGGAAACGCTGTACAAGTATTGATCAGTACAAAGGGAAGTAATCTCAGGAAACCAGGAGCCTCTTGTAGCACCTTTTTTGTGCAAGTGCTGCACCTGACAACACTGTGATATTTACTTGTCTAGCCTTCAGAGGTCCTTCAGGTAATACCAGCAACAAAAAAATAGGGAACAACAGAAAGAGAAGGGGGAAAGTGAAGCGTATGTATTGGAAGAGATCTCACCTCACATTAGTTTCATCATTAAATTCTTCGGCCCATTTCTTTCTTGACTGAGCTGTAGTTGAACCATCTAGGCGATAGTAATCAATGTTTCTGAACCATTTTCCTTCACCTATAAATGTAATAGTCAAATTGTTAAAATGCTGACTCTGTATGTAACCAGACTCCTTAATACTGGATATACACAACTCTCTAAATAGTGAAAGAACAAATACGGAACAGAAAATAAACTATTCTCTAACATTTTAAAGCTATGGGAGCAGACTATCGGTTATTCAAGACAGAGAACGTATTTGGAGGATGGAGGTGCTTGCCATGTGCATGCCTTGAAAACTACATAGTGAAGCTTGCATAACAAAACATGAAATCTGTAACATGACAGTAAATAACAGCAATTGCATTTGGGATGACAAATCATCACCATCATCCACAAGTCTGCAAGAGCTCCCACAAACCCTAAACCAATTTTGTCTAAAATGACTCAAAACCAGACTAAAATAAACGGTGCCAATGATTTGACCTTACAAAAAGCGTGCAGCATCTATCACTATCCATATTTCTTCTTAAGATTTTGTTATTTTTTACAAAAACATCAGCTGCTATTAAATGAAACTCCTCCAACAAGTTCTATACAGATTGGAACTTAAAGATATGAACTTACAATCAAATTATGTTCCACGGTTAAATTTTAATTGAAGTATTTGAAAAGACCTGAGCTTTTTTGAGGTAGTGTCTCTTATTTTTCACTATTTCTCGTTGTGTATACACATTTGTAGAGATATGCCTTAACTTGGAGCCGAACTGAATATTAAAAAGTAACTACATCTAACTTTTACACATTATAGTACTAATTGTACTTTTCTAATTCATCTGTGTGGTTTCCCGTTAAACCATTAGTGTACGTCTGTCTCCCTCATACAAATAGCATTCATAAGTAAATGCTCAACAGGAGATTTCAAAAGTCAAGGTCTAATCATTTTGGAACTGAAATTCAGAAAAATCTCTTTGCATTTAATTATCCTGCGACTTACGGCTACTTTTTGCCAGACGGGGGAAAAAAACAATTACAGCTGATAAAAGATACCCTTCTCTCCCCAGTTCACAAGTAACCTTTCATTTTCTTTGGCCATCACAGTGTATGTACACAAAAGGAACCCCTCTGTGCCATCAATTATAAAGACGACAGCATTTTTAGGAGACAGCACTGCTCAATGCAATCAATTATGAGAAACAGATTGTTGAGTTACGTCAGGAAGGTCTCTCTGCGGTGAATCTTGCTATGCTACAGTCTAAATGCTTACCAGAAGAACTACCACAAACAAAAAACTGCACCCCTTAAAACACTATCTCAGACTACAGGCACAAACTCCATGGAATACAGACAGCTCGTAACATCTGAAGATGACAAACGTTCAGAAACTAAGGAAGCAACAGCCAGAAACAATAAATCTGAGAGAGATATACTGGAGATCTTGCGGTGTTGGTATCACTGAGCCACATTTCTCTTATGCAACTGTTCAACACGTTCACCCCTAGAAATAAGATTATTTGACAGGAATGTCACATTCAAAGGATTTCTTCAATCTACACGTACTGGGAACTGAAACTTCACACAAAGATGAACTGCATCACCAGGAGCTCTGGGAGATCTCACAGAGTGAACAGAAGAAACATCCGATGCAGAGGACATGTCTGGCTAGTGAGAAATTCCTCCTCATTTGAGCATCACTAGGGTAATAATTCATTCAATACTTTGCTCCCTTATGAAATCTATAACACAATCTACTGCAGTACATATAATGCCTAAATTCACAGTTCACATGTTCTACACATTGCTTTCAAGTAGTCTAATTTTCATAGAATCATAGAATCATATCTCTCTCCCAGTAGGAGGGATCAGAATTTGCCATGCATCAGCACATAACATCACTTTAGTACAGAACTTAACAAACTGCCTGCTCTCTTTTCAGATGATGAAAGTTTAATCTGCTCAGGCTATATTAAGCACAGATGATACAGTCAATCAGAAGCAAGAGTCCATAACGGGATAGCCGAGACCACCTGCAGAGGAGACCAATAATCCTGCCAACTTCAGGAATACTACAGAGCGTCCAACATTTCTAATGAAAACGATTCTTTCAAATCCATTGCCTTTGGACTGAATAGAGATTTGTGTAAGTGTTATTGGCTTTGCACTGTTCAAGGTGACACTCACCTTTATAAATAGGAGGCTTCTCTTTGTCAGTTTTCTCCCTGTTGGCCAGCTCCAGAAAATCTTCTATCAAATCCAGAGATATTAAGGACTGGCTGAACACTAGGCTGAAAACAGAAACAGGGAAACACAAAATTCACCTCTGAGGTTAATTATTGTATTCCTTTGTATTTCTTCCCTCCTCACTTTGATCCTACCTTTGAAACAAACAGCCTTTCTAGACACAGAGGAAGACTTTGGTGGAGTACATGCATGTATGGGAAAACTCACTGACAAAACTGAATGTGGGATGGGCATTTGCTTCAGAAAACTGAGCTACAGCATTATGAAGACTGAATGAAGAACACTGTCAGATGAACATATTTATAAGGTCATTAAAACTATTTCTAGAACTGACTTACACTTTGTCTCCAAGCTCCTCTGCCATTCGCAGAATTTCAAAGAGGAGCACCATTTTCCCAGAATGTTCCAACACTTCAGCATCTGCATCAGTGACAAAATCTTTGTACCAATCGGGCGCTGGGCTACCAGGATTGGAAGAGGACGTAGCTTTGCCTATAAAAAACAAAGTCAAAAAATGTTAAAAGATAAAGGCATGGTCTCCATTTAAATGCTTTGAAATATCTGAACTACAGAATTATTTTCTCATTATTAGGCTTAACTGGTACAAAGAGTTAAACAGGCAAAGAAAAAAATAGTGTTTGTGCTATTAGCAATTATCAGATTAGCAGTTATAAATAGCACAAGTCATCAATAAGAGTCACAAATCCCCTTTTTGTGTTGCAGGATACTAGGACAAATAGTTCTACCACCTCCAGTTTTTCCCCCAAAGCACTTATCAACAGCTTTGTTCCCACCAAGTGCGCATCTTTGCAAACTCATCCATAAACATTACAGCCATTGAAATGAAGCTTTCCATAAGGCAAATTATTTTGATTCTCAAATAAACATCTGAAATTGTTTGAAAGAGTGGTCTTTTCGGTTACCGAATTCATCTACCGAGATGAACTCTCTGGAAGAAAGTTTCCAAATGTTACGATAATAGAGGTGTTTAAGATGAAACCTGTAAAGCATCTCCTCTTATTTCTGTTAGGCTCAGGTTTAGGGTCTTTTTTCCTTAATCCAACTTAGAAGACAGTATTAGCATGTAGGAAAAAACCACGCTCCTCCACTTTTTATATTAATTCACAATAAAGGAAAATAACCAAACAAATTCTGCCATCATATTCTGCCTTTTTACAAAGTTCCTTAAGGAAGTTTCTTCTCTGCTCATCTGCTAATGTGCTATCACAGTAGCCAAACCTGTAAAATACACATCTTCTAAGTTAATTTTGTTAACTTAACCCCTTAAAACAACAGAAGTCCTAGAAAGAATTACAAAATTCAGTTTCTCATTGTAAAAATACACCTAGCAGCTAGCAAAACAAGCCTGTTGGGGTCTGCAACACCCATTCAGAAGTGTCAGATGCAGACTGTGCTGATCTTTAACAATACTCCTCTTGTTAATTCTGAATTCAGCCACATGAAAGCATATATTCAGCATTACAATCAGCACCAGAAAGGCAGGCAAGAACCATGAATTATCTTGATTTACATTACTTAATTTCTTTTATGATATTTCTGTGATCTTCAATTTAACCTCCTTTGCAGGAGTGATAAAAATTGATTAATTAGATTTATAACACTAACTTTTTTTCACATAATACCTTTGATTTACTGAAATATTTACTTACACACTAGGAGAAGTGTTCTATCTCATAAACAATTCAAAACATTTACATTTTCAGACCATGCACTGCAGATCAATTGTGACACGCCAGTAAATTTCAGGTGCAAGATAGAACTGATCTTGACCCAACCCACACTTGAGCCCGCCTTCGTACAAGCTTTTAAAGATGTATTTTTCTATACCAGAACAAAGAATGAGCATATCAACCAAATAAGAGACCTAAACATGCTGTGGGAAATCCTATACACACCACCTATCTGTTTCTACCTTCGCCCCTAAGCTTTGCAGCAGGGCCTCCAGCCGCTGCCATGAGGTATAAAGTCGGCCCGCAAACCTCGTCTGGCGCAGCATCACGTTTGCCTAGAAATTCTGTACCTACATTAAATCAAACAAGGCTGCGTAAGAGAGGTAAACATCTGAGTGATCCAGAGACAGAAACTCATCCTGCCTACAGTGCAAGTAATTAATATATTTAATCTGTATGTGTACGTACTTTACACACACACACTCACACTCTTCCCCTTACATGTTTAAAATACATTTTTCATTGGGATGGGGATCAAAGAAACCCCAATTTTCACAACTTAACTGTCCCTCCAAAAATCATTTATTTAGGGAAATTGATTAGACACACAATAAACGATCCAATCAGAAAACCAGCTCTATGACACTAGATAGAAGACAAAATCTAGATTATTAAAGGAAAACCCCAAAATTAAATATACAGATATAGGTAGTTTGAATAACAATCTTCAAAAAGGTCTCCTATTCCTGCT